CATATTGGCTTGTCTTTCGTGGACAAGGGCCAAATATTTCTGCCGCTCTTTAGATTTACGATAGTTAGCTGGGTGATCTTCATTACAGTTGCAACATCGAGTTGGTTCTTTACGATCCTTCTTCGGGCAATTTGAAGTTCAATGCTGTTCCGTGCATTTTACGCAGCGCGGGGGTAATTGCAGTTTTTTGACGCATGTCAAAATCTTCGACATCTAAAGCATTGTGTACCATAAATGTTGTCTGCTTGATATTTCCGAATTTGTACAACGCAATTGCATAGGTATTCGATTGGACGGAAGCGTTTTATGTCCGTATTGAGGGGAAGTTGTACTATAAATGGTGGGCACAACATTTGTTTCTCATTCGAAAGTTTAATTTTTCGTATCGCAGGATCGTTGAAAACAAGGGAGATTAATTCCTCCTTAAGTTGAGTTTCGTTGGCGTAGTCAGGAAAACCGCTTTAAAGTGCCTTTACGGGAGTAAGTGTGAAAAGGCACTTTCTCGGATTCTAAGCCAGCTTTCAGCAAAATATGAGTGGCGGCCGAGTAACACAATATGGAGATTTTATTATTACCTTTGTATTGCAGATGGAAATCATTGGTGTACTTCTTAATTAACGTTCTGAAAGATTCGTGTGTCCAGTCCTGTTGCAATTCTAGCAGAATAAGTGGGATGCGAGCTGTCTTTGTCTTTGTCCTGACGGTAGTGACATCGCGAAATTTGTCAGCAGTTTGGTCATTTGAACCGGAGCCAGAGTTGAAGATTGTGAAGGCATTACTGGTTTCAAGGCGATTCGAGGTAATTTCCACTGGGCGTGATGTTTGTTTCGGTATCTTCCACTCCCTGGTGTTGACTGGTTCCTCTAGTGGCCGTTTACCAACTGAATTGGATCGGTGCAGGTAACACTCCATACGTACTAACTGTTACTTACGAATACTAGTAACACCTTTGAATTAGTTGGGCAGTTACCTATCTCTAGTATATCGTATGTAGCAAACAACAATAGGTGTGGGTCACAACAAGACGTGCAACACAGCAAAGCGCCCACGCAAAACTGAATACCGATTGATTAAGGAAATGGGAATTGTACTATAATTGATTCAGGAACCGAAGGAGGAGCAAGTTGATCGAGAAATATGCTTGCTAAACTTGGAGGTAACGACACTGAGATAAGGTGTTCGTACCAGTCCTAAACCTTCTTATATTTTGCCATACAATGGTTGGGTGGACGTCAAGACAAATAGATACACAAAAACGCCTCCAGTCATCAAACTTCTTCTTCTTAAGCAGCTTACGGGTCTCACGTGCGATTTGGCTGTAAACTTCATAATTTTCTGCGGTCATTGCGTTACGGTACGCTCGCCCAGCCGCTTTTCTTCTTAGCAGCTTACGGGTCTCACGTGCGATTTGGCTGTAAACTTCATAATTTTCTGCGGTCATTGCGTTACGGTAGGCTCACCCAGCCGATTTTCATCTTTTAATTGCATCCAAACATTCTCAGTCCCACCAAGGTGGAAAAGGAATTCTCGACTCTTGGGACATTTTTGAAGGGAAAAGTCTATCAGCAACTTCTATCAAAAGATTACTAAGAGCCTTTGAACATTCTGAGACACTATCAGCGAGTATATTCGGTAAAGATGCTATTTTACTTGTCTACTCTATCTTTAAAAATACTCCAAGCATCCGGCAATTTGTGTTTTAAACGGGGACTACTTTTTATGCAACCATGAAAGGAACACGGGAAAGTAATAATTATAGGAAAATGATCACTACCACAGGGAGAAGTGAAGACTGATCACAATATAGTGGATGTTAAGACAGGAGTAGAAATTGATAGGTCTGAGACACTGAAAACCTCAGATGGCTCAGTCATTCTTGTGGTAGAGCCGGTATTTAAGATACAAAGATTTTGATTGTCTAGTATATCTAATAATACGTCCCCATAGTTTGTAGAAAAATAACTGCCCCAAGAACGGTGTTGGCAGTTGAAATTACCTACAATAAGAAATGGTTTAGGAAGAACAGGAATTAAGTTGATAATTTCAGAGAGAAGAGAGGAAATTGGATGTGGTATATACTATAATACAATACATATATTACTAACAATAGCAGCAACGGCATCAATGCCATAGCTGAATGAAGGTAAGGGAAAAGACTGAAAGGAAAGAGAATTTTTAACAAGTATGGCGACTCCACCATACCCATCAGATCTGTCTTTTCGAAGAACTGAAAATCCAGAAACTCTAAAGGAATATTATGGCTTTAACCATGTTTCAGACAGACGAAGAATGCAAGGATCAATATTGTTGAGTAAATAAATAAAATCAGTTTTTTTATTCGAGATACTTCTACAATTCCATTGTATTAATCGGTGGTCCATTGTGAACCAAGTTGGTAGTAATATATTTCGAAATGGTAGGGGCAACGTTAGGCGGTATATTTGGTGTTATAAGATTTGATTTACTTAAATAGTTTATAAGAGCTGTAATAATTTCAACAATTGGCAATTCAGATTTAGATTGGTCATTATCATTATCAGATGTTTTATATGCAGAACCATTAGAAAGAGAAGAAACCATGTCCATATTAGATTCATTAGCACACTGTGCATGAGCGACTTGGTCATAACCACCAGATTGTCTTGGAGGAGAACGGGGCTTTAAGAAAACTGTACTTTTGTAAGAATTATTAGAGGTCGAAGAATTTCTTCTTTGCAGGTGTTGGTGAATTAATTAGTGTAGACTGTTGTTTGAGTACATCTGCATCTGGTGGATATGATTTAGAGGCTTCAATGTATGACACACAATTTTGAGCCATATAAGCCTTTAATTGTTTTTGCCTAGAAAACTCTGGGCAGATCATACTACTTGCAAAATGGTAACCTGAGCATAAACAACAAGAAGCACCATCCTTCTCAACTGTGCATGTATCACCCGTATGATTTTTTCTACATTTGTA